ATAAATAACCCAATAACTCACTTGTTTGTTTGACCGTTACATTGTATAGCTTATTATTACAACAGCTTGAACTATTGAACCAGATATTATTTAAGGAATGATCCACAATTCTAAAACAATTAATAATTTTAGCTAATTGAAGTGGCTTCGTAACCTGAATAATGTGCCTTTTTCTTATCTGTATTTATAAGTGATTGAGGTTGCCTCAATAAAGCCTCATTCTTTTTGCACATAGATGAGAAATTTGTCCCAAACTTCTTCATAAGATCGCATCTTTTTCCCTTTCACTCTTAATTCAACTCTTTAAGTTACGTTTAAGTATGTAGTAGTTAATATTTTCAGTCTACCGTTATAGAGTTTTGTTCCTCCTTTTAGAGGGTGACATACATAGGAACATACTGTATGCACAAGTTTCTATCACTTCTGTTTAGAATGATTTTATGGTCTCAAATATTCAGTGTTTTTAATATGTTTTTAATATATGTATACAACAGGAAATACATTTACGTAGAGTGAATAATTAATAATTCACAATTTAATTGTTTTTGTTGTTGTTTTTGCCTTTTCAGATGAAAATGTTAGGGAAGGACGATTTGGGATGATATCCATTCAGACTCGGTCAGTGTGGTAGTTACCTACATTTGCATCGTTCTCATCATTGTAACTTGCATCATTCTGATCTAACCGCGGGAAAACGAGGCGCTGTTGCGCGCTCTACAAGCTCAAGCGATTGCTTATGAACTAATGTTGATGAATTATGACAATGTTTACTATACGATATTTATATGGTGATATGTTTTAGACGGTTGTAAGAATGCATATTTTATTTCCCTCATCATCTGAACTTGCACAGTCAACAATGCAGACATTTCAAAATAAGAGTCACAGTGTATTTCAAGCTTTTTTCCTGGTCATTCTTGATATTTTGGGTACATAAACTGTATTTAATTTAATTATCAACTATTGTAGCTTCTGTCTGGGATTCCCCATCACAGGATGGACAGACTAAGAACATTATTCAAAATAGTGTTTAATAAATACATTTTACTAGCATCAGGTTTTTATAGTTAAAACTAAAACCATAAAATAGTCTTCATTAATTGAAATAAAATAAATGTTAACTGAAATTATAAAACTCTATAAAAAAGGAAATATCTAAAACACATATACTGAAAAAAACTTATTTTATTTCATTTAGTTTATAAGCTTTAGCTTACCTTGATGCACTAAAATAACCAAAACAGAAATAAAAAAAATAACAATGACTACAAAAGACTGACTAAAACTAAATCAAAATTTGCTGTCAAAATTAGCACTGGATCAGATGTGCCAAGAACCAAATATTTTGATAAAGCAGACATAGACACTCATATAATCACACATTTTAATGAATTGTGCACTTTTTTTCACATTGTGGCTGATTTGTAGATTGTACACACAAAAACATCTTTGTATTTTTGCCTGTTTCCCATTCATTTCCTATGCCAGTCATTTTTGTCCGAGAACAACACAAGTGTGACTTTTTTTTTTACGTCTATTTAGCTTTTTCGAAATCAAGTCCATAATTTTAGTTCTCATCATAAGCAAGTCGTTTCTTTTGGTCTGCGCTTAATCACAGAAACCGCTAGTAGCGGCCGGGGCTATTGACTTGCTCTTTAATATGAGGACTGGATGGTAGCTACCCTTATTAAATGCCTCGTCTCAATTACCTCTTTTTCCTCGGCTTTATTCACAACTCAAAATCAGCGTACTCTTAAATGAAATTTCAGCTTTCTATCTGGAAAGGTCTTAAAATAAATAATTACAAAATCAATCACAAAGAAATTTTAAATGAATTAAATGTGGTATTCACATGGAAGACAACATTTACAATAAAAAAAAAAAAAACTTCGAAAACAATCAACACTGGCTCCTATTACAATAAGGCTAATAATTATCTATGCTTTTGGCCAGTTTCGAACCACTGTAGCCTGCATAAGCAATGACCGAATAAAACACCAAAAGTCACCGAATTTCACACTGCCGTTTGATAGTAAAATCCCGAAAACACAAATTGAGGCAGATTTGTTCCACCTTGTGGAGATAAATCAAGAAAATCCCCTGTAATACCGTGGAGTAGCCATTAGATGGCTGTATAGCCATATATATTCAGTGCTGTGTATTCCTTAGTAACTGAGTTACTGTGTTTTCAGGCATAATTTTGTCACCCCTTCATTGCTGTGCACTTTTTTTTCGCATTGTGGCTGATTTGTAGATTGTACACACAAAAACATCTTCTAATAATTATCTATGCTTTTGGCCAGTTTCGAACCACTGTAGCCTGCATAAGCAATGACCGAATAAAACACCAAAAGTCACCGAATTTCACACTGCCGTTTGATAGTAAAATCCCGAAAACACAAATTTATTCTTTAACATATAAAAATACTATACCAAAATGAAATACAAATATATATTAGAATCTGTTAAGCATTTCTGTATAAAGTGAAGGTCTAGGGAGTTAGGAAAAGGAAATCGACGCGAAAAAAATAAATAAACACCCACCGAAATTAAATGAAATAAGCCAAACTGCACTTATGTTTTAATCCTAGGACGATGTTCGTGGCCATTCGCAAACCTTCATGAACGCAGTAGCTTGCAGAGGTAATACTGAAGGAATCAAAAAGAGAACATGGTGGATTCTGGGAAATCGTTAGTGTTGCGGGAGACGGGAGAATTGTGACTTCTAAGAGGTGTGTACAGTGTTGTGGTCATAACCCATAGTCATATTGTACCCCTCAAACAGTTTCAACACTGGCCAATATAAAAACTGCAGTGGCGTTGCATATTTAGCAGTGTTTCGATAAGCGATGTTCTATTTTCTGCTCCGCAGTACTAATATTAACCACAATCCAGACATCACATGACAACGAGCATGCATCTTAGAAAACGGTGTGATGAGATCTAGCTAGCGCTTGACTTCAGCTCTCCCTTACATTCTGTAGAGTTCTCTGTTTGAGGTAATGGAGGGACAAACACTGTATGGAATAGATTGAATGGATCCTTTTATTGGACTTCGTTTTCTTCAGCTATCTCGTCAAGATATAGTAAAGAAGCTCCCCTCCAACAACATAACTATGGCACCAGGAGCGCCGCAGAGCTCTTCACACGTTCACATGGAAGGCTGCTGGGTATTTTTTGGCCCCCATGTCGTTTATTAAGGATGCCATATTTGCAGTGGAATTGGGTCAGGGACACATAAGAGTCCCATGCGCAACCCATAACAAAAAATGACTGGAAATATCTGGTAAGACAGCATGTCGTTCCATGCACATCTTGTTTTTCACGCGTTTTATTTTACCAGCACGTCTTCGAGGATGTATTCTTCCACACAGATATATCATACATATAGTTTTATTCAGGCATGGTGGAAATGTGGATGTTCCTTCCGTCACCATTTTGGAGCCTTATGTGCTCAAATACACGCCCTGCACTGCAGAGAGAGTCAAAAAGACCATCATTTTCTTCTAATATGTGACTACTCTCTTGCTTTTGGGCTGAAACAAGCCAAGGGCCACCTCGCTTGCCTTTCCTCTCAGCAGAGTTGGTGTTATTTTATTTTCTGTATAAAATGTAAAAAAGAAATTTTATATATATATATATATATATATATAAAATCTAAATTATGAGCTATTTTCTGTATACAATATATATAATTTTAAGCTTTTTAAAGTTAAAAATAGAGCAAAAGTATTTAAAATTATTAAATTGAGGCAGATTTGTTCCACCTTGTGGAGATAAATCAAGAAAATCCCCTGTAATACCGTGGAGTAGCCATTAGATGGCTGTATAGCCATATATATTCAGTGCTGTGTAGCACTGAATATAACTTAGTAACTGAGTTACTGTGTTTTCAGGCATAATCTATTTAGCTTTTTCGAAATCAAGTCCATAATTTTTTCACATAGCGACTGCCATAAAAGTCTCTTGAGTTTCGTACATTCCGATTTTTTCCCGAAATTTCCAAAAAAAAATTTCGGTCTAAAATAACCGAACAACACCAGAGTAGTACCGCAGCTATCTATGCTTTATCTCATCAGAAACAGAATGCTTGACAATGAGCATACGCCCGAAGGGTTGTGCTTATGTTTTCTTACCCTTGTCACATAACTCTCCACTGTAGCCCACCTCACAATGACAGTAGGCATCTCCTGTGTCAGATAACTGACAGTGGCCATGTTTGCATTGAAGCTTTCTGCATGGATTGAAGAGCTCCTCCTGCTGGTTGCACAGGGCTCCATGAAAACCCTCCTGGCATTCACAGCGATACGACTGCGTGTCCATTGGAATACATCTCCCATGGACACACCTGTGTAAAACGAATGAAGGAATTAGAGCATTACTTGTTGCGCCTCGGTCTGCTCTGCATATTTCACCTCAAGAATTTGACTGACTTGCTGCCCAGGCAGGGGTTCGCCGAAGGCTGGTCACAGTGTTGCCCACTCCATCCGGGCTGGCAGTGGCATACGGGGCCTATGGCAGTGTTG